GGTTTAGGGTTTAGGGTATAGGAAGCCAAACAATTACCAACATTATTCCTTACGGTTCGTTTTATTTACTTATACCACAAGGCCCTCTCGTAATTGTCCGGGCGCTTACGGTACAGTAACGTACACCAACAAATATGACGGCTCGTACTTTTGGCAGGGGCTTGGCTGTTGGTTTTGGCCTGTCCTAAACTCAACACGCTCTTTCTTGACGATTATCCCGTACTGCGTGCTTCCAGGGATTGTCCTCAACCCTCAACCCGAATTCAGCCCGAAATCCGAAACCCCATCCCTAAACCCTCAACCCCAAGCGGCGGAACGCTCTTAGGCCTGGCAAGCCTCTTGGAGCACCGACGCCGGCGCAGGCCTCATAGCCTTCGGGGGTGTTCTACAGGGGCTACTAGCAGAAGGGTGAGTATAGGAGCCTCAAAAATTATCAGTATTATTCTATATAGGGTCCCTTAGTATAGTCAGAGTATTGAGGAGCCCAAAACCCTACTCTAATTATTAAGGCCCCTACAGCAGGTCTTCGGGTGTAGCAATATACCATTCCTGGCCTCAGACAGTGGGATGAAGGTAGGTGGAGAAATGTCCTTAATCCTACCTACCTTCATCCCAAATTTTGAGGCCTCCGATCATGTCCTTCAGGGCTCAGCTGGGCTCTTGTTGACGGACTTGGTTAGCTTTAAGTTACCATCATAGGGACCCATAGTAAGAAATAGCGTTGCCTTAATATGGAAGCCGAAATTTCATTACCAATGGTCTTTATTGTAGGTATGCTTTACTATACCCCCCAAACCTTATCCTAATTCCTAAACCCTAAATCCTAAACCCTAAACCCTAAACTAGGGTGTAGCAGGCTTCTGATTCAGTAGTCTTCAGGGCTGAGGTGTTCACACAGGGCCTAAGAGGCTCTGTGTTTACATAGGACTTGTACAGATGGGAGCTTCCGAAAATTGGGGTACGTCATTTGAGGGTCCTTATAATAAGGATCCTACTATTTAGGGTACTATATTAGAGTCCCCTATTTTCGGAAACCCCCAGATGGGTAGGGCTTGTATAGGGCTTGCGGCTTACGTTGTGCTTAGTTTTAGATGTTGGGTTTCCCTCCAAAATACTCTCTTTCAGTGATACTGGCAGGCATGTGGTTCAATGCCATAGGCTTTGAGTCCGAAACCCTGAAGAACTTAACCTGCTAAGGCACCGACAATTCCGCTTTTGGAGGCCCCAACCCCAATTCCCCGAACTCTCTCTGCACAAGCAATTCCCTAAAGTACTCACGCTCGCGCCGAAGCTTTCTATGCCATACCCTAACCCGAAGGGTCCATCCAACCTACCTGTATAGTGTAGAATGTCGGGTTTCTATGTGAGGAACTGCTGTTATGTTTTGGGAAACTATCCCCCATAACAGTACCTAGGACCCTTTGACCCTTTGAGTAGCTAGGGTTTAGAGCTTCAGTCTTCAGTCCTGAACCCATAAGCCCGAGGCCCCTAAACCCTATCAGTCAACGGTTCATGACATGAGTTTAGAGTTAAGGGTTTTGGGGTTTGGGGTTTTTGGGTTTAGGGTTTGGGGGTTTTGGGTTGAGCGTTTTGGGGTTTAGGGTTTAGGGTGTTTGGGCTATGCACAGTTAATTAGAAGACAGGAGCCTGACTACAGTGGACTAGCGCTACAGCACCGTTGCGAGGTGGTGATCGTTGACGCTCTCAAACAAGCCCTCACACCCTAGAAACCCTAAGCCCTAAACCCCAAACCCTAAAACCCCTAAGCCCTAAAACCCCTAAACCCTAAAACCCCTAAGCCTTGAAACCCCTAAGCCCTAAAACCCCTAAGCCCTGAACCCTAAAACCCCTGAACCCTAAACCCTAAACTTTAAAGCCCCTGAACCCTAAACCCTAAACCCTAAAACCCCTAAGTCCTAAAACCCCTAAACCCTAAACCCTAAAAAACCCTGAAGTCCGCACGAAAGAACCGCATGAAGCTGTTCTCCAGCTGTTTGCGCGAGTTGGACTTCAGGCAGAAGGACTTCGATCACAGCTACTTGGTGGAGGTCGACTACTACCTGTCTCCCCAGCACGACCGCGTCGACTGGGCGCCCGTCACCAGGATGAGCGTTGACACATCTGAGATGAATGAGTATCAGCTTGAACTCTTAGCCAAGAAGAGGCTGGACAAGGCGTCCAAAAGCAAGAAGTCATGTCGTATCTTAGCACCGTTGGAAAGTCATACAGCTCCGCCTACTGCGCTTCTACATGGAGGTTCTTGGCGTCAAAGTCAAAGAGAGGTCTACAGCATCGTGCTCTTTGGATGCAGAGCCAACAAAAGTCCCTTCATCCGCTATGAGCGAAAGCTGGAGTTCAAGCGGCAAAGAGCAAAAAAAATACAAGCCGACGTGGTAAAACAGCCTTAAAAGCCCTAAGCACTACACTAGACTTTCAGTCCCCTGAAGCCCTAAACCCTAAACCCTAAACCCTAAACCCTAAACCCTAAATCAGATCTGGAGCTCGGTGGCTCAGTCACGAGGTCTCAACTTTTCCCGTCCGGGTGCTTCCAAAGAGCCCCTTCGTCTGCAGCCTGTGGGAAGATTGAGGGTGCCTAGGGTTGGGGTTTAGGGTTTAGGGTTTAGGGTTTAGGGTTTAGGGTTTAGGGTTTAGGGTTTAGGGTTTAGGGTTTAGGGTTTAGGGTTGGGGTTTAGGGTTAAGGGTTTAGGGTTTGTTGGGTTTAGGGTTTACGGGCGTTTAGGGTTTAGGTTTGTGGTGTTGGTGTTGCGGATGGGTGGCCTGTAGCTTTAGGGAGGGCACTGTATGGTTTGGCACACAACCTTCACACCCTAAACCCTAAGCCCGAACCTCGCAGCTTGTAGTCCCAATTCTGTGCTGTTGTTTTGAAGAGCCTCGGGCAGAGTTTTTTCTTTTCGGCGTGTTGCGGAATGAGGGCACATGAGTGTAGGAGCATCATACGCTGGTAGCAGCAAAACTGCGAAGCATTCTAAGTTTGTAGTACATCCGTGCATACATGCATACATACATACATACGTACATACATACATACATACATACATACATACATACATAACTAATTATGTACATGCATGCGTGTATGCACCAAAACCCTGCATTTCTAGATGTCTATTCGAGCTAGATCAGCGAGAAGCATGGTCATGGAGCTACGTGTGCTCGGTTGGGATTGCCGTTCGAAGATGGAGGTGTGGGCAGAGATCTGGTTTCTGGTCTGGCATACACCCCTTTGACGCAATTATGTAAGCTTACATCCACCGAAGCCGAAGAATCGCTTCAAATTTAAGCAGGTTCGAGAAGATGCCCTCACGGTAGCCGGGGTAGATGCGAGCTCTACACCGTGTCTTCGTAGTTAGGTTTTGCATCGCATGGCTGTGCTACAGTGGTCACAACTCGATATCTTGGCTGTTGCTTCTGAATGTCCGCAAAAGCAATGAAGATTTCATGCTGACTTATGCAAGCGACTCCTGTGCTCAAAGCCCTCGCAATCCCGCTCGTACGAAATTGCGTCTCTCACTCACGTCCCATCTCCAGGGACGTCGACCAGCCAGAGTTTTACGAGGAGGATCTTCGTCTGGATTTTTGTGAAATTGCATTAGGTCAGCGTGTGAAATTGTGGGACTGGCCTCACATCCTCCTCCGACTCCTCCTCCAAGAACAAGCAGCAGTACTCTTTAGTTGTCTAATGTCGTCTGCTCGCCTTGATTGGAGTGACTTCGTAGTGGTATTCGGGGCAGCAGTCTAGGCGAAGCGGTAGTGGTAGTGGTAGCAACAGTCCGGTCTAGCCCAGGCGATTTAGTCAACGCCTTAGCGGTCCTACCTGTCCAAGACAACCCCAAAGGGTCTAAGTACCCATATAGTAGATATTTTGGGCCCCAAAGTATCTACCAGATTAGTACTTAGACCCTTTGGGAACAGCAGGGTGGGGGGGGGGCGTACGTGAGGCATCTGAGCGACGGCCTGAACCTTCGAGCATAGCTCGGTAAACTAGTACCTTAAACCCTAAAAGCCTAAAAATCCTAGAGCCGTGAGCTGTGGTTGCGGTCTCGGGGTTCGGGCAGAATTCAGAGTCTCGGACGTGCATTTATGCAGGAGATCGACCGCTTCCTGCGCAGCCTAGACGTTGCCGGAAGCCCAGCTCATCTTGCGAAGCTTGCTTTCAAGGAGCTCCAACTAATCTGTTTTTAATTTTGAAGCAATGCAGATGAAGATGCCTGCTGGTGATCCAACTGGTATCTCCAAGTGGGCTTTAGAATTTAGCAACACCTTCGTCGAGTGTAACACGGTCTTCTTCGACGTCGTTGATAGCATTGCTGGGTCCCCTGTGAATTGGCCCAACTATGTCGAATCTGTCTTGAAGCTTCCGAGTTCACGTAAGTCAGGGTTCCTTTTTGGGGTTCCCTTAGGTCTCTCGCTCTCTCTCTCTCTCTCTATTATATATATATATATATAATATGCTCATATATATATATATATATATATACATATATATATATATATAAGGCTATATGTGGGTTCTAGAAGGATTTGGGAAGTAAGGGTTTGGGGTTCCGTTCCCGGAACCCTGAAAGAATCCCTTAAACGAACCCTTTTAGGTTCCTTTATGGGTTGTTCTCTAACCCAGCACCTCTCTTAATATAGGGGCCTTAATTTTAATCATTACCTATACCGTTTCTTCGAGGTTCCTTGTTAGAAGTATAGTATAATGGGCCCAAAAACCCTATTCTTATTATTAGGGCCCTTACATGATTAATTACCGGAACACCCCCCCAAACGACTGGAGGGCTCCAGCACCCAGAGCTCGGGCATCGCAGGACAGACAGGGTGAGACTTTGGGAGCATTCGGAAAGAGGTTTAGGGTTCAGGGTTTTCCTAGGCCCCAAAGAGCCGACCTTCTTAAGGACTGATATAAGGAAATCATACTGAGGAGCCCTAAACAAGGTAGGTTTTTGGGGGTCCAGGCTTTTGGGGGTGAGGCTTTAGGGTCCAGGGCCTTGCCGGAAGTTGAGTTTGAGTTGAAGTGCAGGACTTCGGCTTGTTTGGTGATGCAGTTCAACCCTAAACCCTAAACCCTAAACCCTAAACAATCTGAGCTTTCGGGGGATTTCGTGGTCTTTGCAACTGCTTTGTCTGAATCATGTTGGGGGCACGATGTACTGAGAGGATTCAGGCGTTGAAGCTGTGGGCTTATGTGCTGTTGATCAGATGTTCCTTCTGTGTCCATGTCCTGCCTTCCCGCCCTCCATTCTCTCGCTTTTTCTCCTCTCAGTCTGTCGCTCTTTCTCTCTTTCTTTCTGTCTCTTTCTGTCCCTGTCCTTTCCCCTTGCTTAAGGTTGGTAGCGATCGTTTTTTGCCGCTCTTGCGAACCAAGGCCTTCGTTGCTCAGGTTGGGTTGTCCCATGACAGCCCAGCCAGGGGTCTAGTAGTTGGGAGCCTTGAGGAGCAACAGTTTCGGATGCCTTGCCACTTGCCTGCACGCGGTTTCGGGCTCGAGCATCGGAATCTAAGCTGCAGGACGGGCAGGATGTACTATAGAAGCCTAAATAACTTTAAGTACTAACTACCAATAGTACTCCTTGGTATAACTATACTACAAAAGAGCCCAAAACCCTATTCCACTCCATAAACTAAGGCCCTTCATCACAACCCCTATCCCTATCAGCCCTAAGCCCTCAGGCGAAGAAGGCTAATTCTAGAGGCTGCCTTTGGACATCGCACTTGCTGCTGCCTGCATAAGATGTTTTCCAAACCCTCCTCAGGTCACGTCGCCCCACCACAAAAAGCTTGAGAACTCCGCAGTTTAACTGTTTAGGGTTTAGGGTTTAGTTAATACAACTTTGGATCCGTCAACAAAGACCCGAAACCCACAAATAGATTTGGGACCCCTATAGTTCATTGAAACCAGAACACAAAAAAGGAAAGACCTAGAACTCCATATCACCCGGAACACCAACCTCGAGCCCCTAGGCCTAACTGACTAGAGTAGGTTCGGAAAAGTTATACTCTACAGTTATATACATAAGGAACCCTACTCTCATCGTTCTTGCCCCTATACTACACCCGTACAGCAACCCTAATTTACCACTGCGAAAAATTCAGTTCTCCCTTACACAAGCCCGCAAAGGAAGCCGAATTTAATTGTTAAGGCTCCTACACTATAAAACTCGAAGCCCTAACCCCAAAACCTCAGCCCGAAGCCCTAAACCCAAAACCTCAGCCCCAATCCCTAAACCCAAAACCTCAGCCCGAAGCCCTAAACGCAAAACCTCAGCCCCATAAGCCAAACTCTTAACGCGCTTCCCACTGAGGCCACTTGGCCCGTGCCTCGAGTCACGAAGATCCGAGTCGCCCCCGCTGCTTTGCCGATCTGACAGGCGCGGCAAACAAAAGCGGGCAGAATACGATAAATTTGGGTGCGTGAATAAGCAAGTGAATACAGAGATATATATATATATATATATGTATGTATTATAACTATATACACACAGAGGTACATACATACACGCATACATACATTCATGCATACATACATACATACATACATACATACATGCATGCATGCATGCATACAGACATGTAAATATGCACATCGTCTCGTCTCGTCTCGTATCGGGTAGCAGTAGAGTAGAGTAGAGTAGAGTAGAGTAGAGTAGAGTAGAGTAGAGTAGAGTAGAGTAGAGTAGAGTAGAGTAGAGTAGGGGCTTGAACAATAAGTAATACTATTCCTTCGGTTTCCTTCATATAACTGCAGTATGAGATGACCCGCCCCAACACCCTGTTCCATCCACTAAGGCCCCTACACGGCCAAACCTAACCCTCCAAGCTCACAAACAAGTTCAACCGAAGGGTGACAAAGATGAGATGATCGTCGTCGTAGTAGTCGCAAGCTTCGGCAACTTCTCCATCTGTGGCTCGCTTTTCCCTGCATGGCATGCAGAAGTGCATGGTGGTACGGTATGGTATGGTACGGTATAGTATGGTGTAGTGTAGCTTAGCGTAGTGTAGGATAGTGCAGTGGGTGCAAACAGTGTAGCAAAGTGTAGTAAAGTACTGTACTGTACAGTACAGTATATAAAGAAAAGTGTGGTACCGCACCGTAACTTAACGTACAGTGTACGCAATATAGCGTAGTAGAGTGTTGCATGGTGTGTAGAGCGGAGTACAGTTTTGTACTGCATTGCACAGCACGTATGGTATGGGACAGTATGTTCTATGTTGCCATTGCCGAACCCCAAACCCTAAACCCTAAACCCCAAACCCTAAACCCTAACGAGCTGCTGCCAAGGCTGAGCCCTGCGGACGCATTGCAACAGCTGCCGGAAGAGGCGAAGCCCCGAACTCTACTGCACAAAAAGTCGGTTTATGTAGGGGCCAATATGCGGGTTTCCGAAAATAGGGGACCCCTAATATAGTACCCTAAATAGTAGGATCCTTATTATAAGGGCCCCCAAACAGGATACCCAAATTTTCGGAACCCCCCCAGATAATTACCAATAGTACTCCTTCAGAAAGGGCTACTCCTTGGGGTTCCTAATTATAACTATACTATAAAAGAGCCCGACGCCCTATTCTAGTTATTAAGGCCCTAAACCCTAAACCCTAAACCCTACCTGCACCCTGCATATCCTGCATTTCTGCAGGTCTCTTTTCAGGAGCTGAGTTCTGGAAATGATGTCTGTGATTCCAAAGCCTGGACCCGTATTCGGTACTTTGACCCGTGTTCGGGAAGTGACCTTCTTTTGGCCCTATAAGGGTTAAGGTTTCGGAGGCTTCGTGGGAAGATGGCAGGGATATGTAGCTAATGTCACCACTAACACGTTAAAGCAAAGACAGCTTAGCTAGTTCCAGTGGCTAAATCAGACAAGAGAGAAAGGGAAGATAAAGAAAGACAGCAGAGACATAGTCGCCGCCGATGATGTGGTGGCCGATGAAGGGCTTCGACTCCAGCCGCGGCCTCATCAGGGGATCGAGGTTGTGATTGCGGCAGGATCCAAGTCTGATACTGCAGCATGCTTGTTGACCCTAGACTCATTCAAGCACAATCAGAGCTGCGTTCGAAAACATTGCTGTAGCATTTTGGCTTTTGCGAGTTTTCTGCTGAGCTTTTCTTTCTTCCACATGGGTGAACCCATTCTTTATGGGGAGCGGCTCAGCTTGGAGGGTGTGGCCCGGGTATGGGAGCGGTCAGAAGAGGTTCGCGAGCGCATGAGGACATCCCGGAGGTTGTTCAAGTCCACGGAGGATGAGAATAACTTCGACCGGCGACTTCATATGAAGGAGGTTGTGCGGAATGCAGAGATCTTGAAGCCTTTGCTGATTCGGATGAATCGTTTTCGGACGGCAGAGGGCAGTGTCTCGATGTTCAAGATTGAACAGGTGGAGAAAGAGAATCTTCGTTTTAGAAATGAGAAGCTGCTTTTTATTCAGATATATACGGGTGCCATTGGAGTCAGCTGCCTGTTCATTCCCTTGCAACTGCTCACCTTTTATGTCACTTCCCATGTCAGGATCAAGCTGCTCCACCGCTTCCTGCTGTCGGGGGTTCCTGTCTGCAAGGAGGACATCAAGAAGGATGCATGGCTTTGCAAGGGCATGTGTGTTCTGGTGAAGAGGAAGCGCCAGAGAAAGAGCCGTCCCAGGGATCGTGTCTTCCGGGAGCTTTTGAGACTGCTCCTTGGGCCGGCCGAAGATGGCGAGGCATGGGCTGCGGTATCTAGAAGGGGCAGTCCATAGAATAGCTTATATACGGTTTGGCTTAGGGAAAATTATAAACAATTACTTAGTACTTGCTATATAAGGTTTATATAGATGGCCGGTAAATTAATTAAACGAAATTACAGGGCCATAGCACTGGGATACGTGTTTGTGAGTTTCAGAGAAACAACTTAGTTGCTTAGTCATTTGCAGGCGGTCATGAGTTCCGGTGACGAAGACGGCGAGGGCGGTGATGACCCGAGCGATGGTGGCAGCGGAGATGGAGACGATGATGATGATGATGCCAGCTCCATCGCTGTGTCATCCGGGGAGGAGGCTGGCATGCTTGTGTCAGCAAACACCGACAGTCCTGACGAGGATTGGATGGGAGAGACGGACCCCCCGGAGCGAGCCGTGGCTGCTTCACAGCATGACGACTCGATTGCTGAGAGGGCTTACCAGGACTTTCTCAAAGAGACTGAGTCGCCGCAGCACGCAGTGCTCGCTTCACAGCCAGAGGACTCGATTGCTGACAAGGCTTACGAGGACTTTCTCAAAGAGACTGAGTCCCCCGAGCAAGCAGTGCCTGCTTCGCCGGAGCTCGATGCCATGATTGAGGCCATGTACGACTCCGGGGATGAGAAGCCTAGCAAATCCAAGAGTGTCAGTGATGGAGGGCATGACGTCACCATCGAGATCTCAGACTCTCCTGTTGTCAAACTCGAGAAGACGCATGACTTCTCACCCAAGGCGCCCAGCCCCCGGTTCAAGGAGATTCAGCAGAGACTCAGGAAGCTGAAGCAGCTTCAGCAGTGCATCGTCTTGTGTATTCTTGGGAACTTTTGTGCTCATTGAACAGGCCTATACAAATCATAATACTCTGAATTATTCATCTAGAGTTCTTGAATTGCTGCAAACTTCGTAACTTTAAGGGCGAAGAGGCGCAAGTGCAATCTCAAGGAGATGGAGCATCTGCCAGGACAGTTTTGATGCAGAAGTGTAGATCGTTTCAACAATAACATTCACTTCATTGAGATGAAGCTAACAGCCGTAAGCCTATATATTTATTTGTAGCCAGAAATTAACATTCCACCTTGCAGGATCAGGTGCTGCAGCTTTTGACCTGCCCCCTTTGGTGGCGGCTGCTGGTGACAATGCAGACACCCAGTGCGTGACGGCTTCAGACATGGACGACCTCGCTGGCAAGTTTCGTGCCAGTGCTTCTGCCATTGATGAGGCTGCCCTTGTGGACATTGGTATGGTGCATGCACTGCATAGAACTCAAGTTTCGATGTGTTTTGTTTTCGGTTGAACAAATATGGTTATCTTGTCTGTCTGCGTGACATCAGAGTGGTTTGGTGTAGGCATGGGGTCAGTGCTGCTCCCAGGTAACCCGTCGGGAGCAGCTTGCAGCCAAGAGCAAAGCGGAGAAGGCCCGCAAGGAGGCCAAGGAGGCTGAGAAGGATGAGGATGAGCCTGGTAAAAAGCGGAAGCCTGGCAAAAAGCCTGGCAAGAAAGCTCAGAAGTCGAAGGCAGATGACGAGGCCGGCAGCCAGGAGGACGCGATCTTGGAGAAGTCCAAGAAATCCAAGAAGACCCGTAAAGGGGCCAAGGCCAAGGCGAAGAAAGCTGTGCGTGACGTGTCTCCGGTGCTTACGAACGACATGCCCGAGGAAGCGGTGAATGATGCGAAGGCCAAGGCAGGCCCTGCTCGTGGCAGCGGCCGGGGTGGAGCCAAGAAGGCCAAGGCTGCAGCCAAGAGCCAGAATGCAAAGCCCAAGGTTGCTGCGCCAAGCCCGGAGCCGGAGGTTGAGGCGGCTGTGCCGCTGCATCGGCGCATGGATTCGAGCACGGGTGCCAGCTCGACGTTTGCCCGCCGGTACCAGCCCCATGGAAAAGGTCTCAGCCAGTCGAAGTGGATCGCGATTCGTGCCGCCTTTTACAAGAACATCTACCCGCATCTTGCTGCCCCGAGCCGCCACGAGGACAGACACCTCCCTAAAACTGAAGCCTCATTGTATTGTGCTCCGCATGCAGACACATCTAACCTCCCTGGCAGGATCTCTTCTGGAAGTTCTGTGTGGAGGAGTGGGCTCAGCTTCCTATGAGTGAGAGGGTTACCATGGAGAATGTTCATGAGCTGGCCATGAAGGCCTCCAGACTCTACCGCGGCCTCAATTGCAATTGCTGAAGCAGCGCAATTCGAAGCTCCCCTTGGAGTGTGTTCACTCCAGGGGAATTTGAATCCCTTGGTGATTGGTTGCCAAGCTTGCTGCTCACTTCCATGTTCAAACATAGAAATAGAATAAGGCTGTTTCCATAGTTTGGCTTCTGTAGAATCGAACACTGCAGTCCTCACAATCGTGCATCAAAACATAACTGTCAATCTCCTAGCCTTCTCAGACAGCTGAGCAGCTTAGTGTTCTTGCTGGGAGCCAGCCAATATGATCCAAGGGCTAGAGTTATGATCGCGCACTAGG